GGCAAGTAGTAATTGATCCATAAATATTTTTCAGGGTGAGAACACACATATATTAATAACATAAAATTTTTAAATGAAATGGTACAAATAAATTTCAGGGACTTTTTTATGGTCTGTTATGTGGGTTTGTTTTTTGTAACTTTGTTCTTCTTGTTGAGTTATCTTTTTGAGGCTTGTTTTTGTAATAGTTTGGGGTACTCTTTTCCTCTATTTAGGTTTAGGGAGGTTTTTAATGATGCCCCTAATCTAGATTTGATTAATAAAATCCATTTTTCCGAGCAAAAAAAAATTAAAATTTCAGGGTGGGCAACGTCCGTAAAATAAATAACAAATCGAAGAAAATTCAGATTTTAGGATGGGGACGTCAAATTGTAGCTCCGCCATTGCATGTAAGTTAGTATTGCTATACATCTTATTCAGCCTAAAATTTGAATTTTTTTTATTAATTTTTTATTTTGTTGATTATGTAGATCCTGAAATTTTATTTTAATTTATCTCATAATAAAAATTTATATTGTTAATATATATGTACACATTCTCAAAAATATTTCTGAATGCACTATTGATATAAGTATAGAGGAATAATGATTCTAGTGCAAAATGATGTCTAACGGTGAGTCCAATATGGCCATCCATAAAACTGAAAGGCTAAGTGAGTTGAGTACATGACCCCTAAGGGCACTAACATAACCCTAATCCAAATATCCACTAAAAGCATTGTGTCTCGGGGGCTCATATTCCACCAAAACCCTAACCTACATCCTCTAGTCATCTATTTAATTTAACTTTCCATTTGTTTACCAAATGTGTTGATTCTTTTTTTTTTGGGGGGGGGGGGGTAACAAGCATGCTTTTAACCAGAAAAGCAGTGGGGCAAAGCATGAATTCATGATTGACCGTTAAGTTAGGGTTTCATTAATTCAGTGCTTTTGCCGACAAAATTACAAACTACTTCTCATAGTGTATTAACCATTATGAACTTGATATTATAGGTTACCTAAAAGGATTAAAATGTAGAAAAAAGGGCACCTCCACAATTGCACATTTCTTTACCTTTTCTACTTAATGAGGGGAAACTGCATTGGTAATTTTGAAGTGTAATTACGTACAATGATATGAAACTTGCATTGAATATTAATGATTGTGCATATAACTTTTTGTCACCACTAATAATTCATGTCAAGACAGTACAAAATCACTTTAATTAATGACAAATTAGCCAAAGGGGGAAGTAAATGAAAGATTTGGGGGGGGGGGTTCCCATGTGAGGGTCATAGATGCAACATAATGCTCCGAATTACGATACTCTTAGGAAACACCAAACCGTATTAAGGCCTCAAATTCTATTCACTAATCATTACTTCTCCCACTAAATCATATAGTCCACCCAATTTTTTTTAATCTTATTTGTTCTCTTTGTTTTTATTAGTCAAAACGATTACTCAATGAGTTGAGCATGAGGGTTATTTTTGGTGGGCAAGTGGAGGATGGGGTTGGGTGGCGAACCCTCACCAAGCCGACATGTTATCGGCTAACATGGACTACGTGGGTGTTTTGTGTGGAATTTTATTACATTTCTTCCGTTTAACATGGACTTTCTTCCGCCTTTGTACCTGGTGGCTCCACCATCCACCACCCTTGTCTCCGTCACTCCCATCGTCATCTCCTCCACTATTTTCTTTTAATTTGGATAACCATGGTACAACGTTTTATGATACGTTCAGTCATCTTTTGTTATAAATAATGTTGGTTATGGTCTTTTGTTATTGGTTTTTGAACAAATTAATTATACAAGTAAACATTTTAGTTTTCATATATAATTTAAATAATCAGTAAAATTTAACTTCAAAAATAACGTAGGTTGTAATTGTTTTAAAGTAGTGTGAAACATATAATTAAGCAATCCATTCTTTCCGTGCATGGATTTGTTAGGTATAACCCAACAGTTTCTTTTTCGTCGAATAGCTTGTAACAATTTTGAAAAGTATGCATGAAGATAGTGTGTTTGTGTGTTAACGTGGAACTATTGGCCTATTGTTTTTTTTATATCTTTACTTTTTTTTTATTAATTTGAATATGAGGTAAGTACAATATAATATATGTTCAAAGATAACTCTTAATATTTTGAAATCATTAAATATAGGTAATATGTCATAAAATTAAATATACTCATTTTCTTTTTTGTGATTGAGGCATTGGACATCTATGAGAGAATGTTAATGTTTTAATACAATTAATGGGTCTTTTTAGTGTGTTTGAGAAGGCGTTATTATATAAAAGACCCTCAAAAAATAATTTATTGGATCAATACCTCCCAAATAATATTAGTTAAAAAATACCTCCCAAACTGTCCACATATAATTGTCTCGCGTCATATAAAACACTTTTAATGGATATTGAGTTTTATAAGGCGCGAGACCCATCAATTTTTTCAGATAAAATCATTTAATTTTAGATAAAAGTAATAATAAATGTATCAAACTTGATTTTTGTAAAACGTAAGGTCTGACCTCGCTTTTTGCAGAACGCGAGATCATTTAACATGAACAACTTGAAGATATTTTTCTAAAAAAATCTAATTTGAGGGTATTTTTTCTAAAAAAATAATAATTTTTAGAGTTTTTTTATATAATAACGCCGTTTGAGAGTTTGAGAATGTAATCTTTGATAAGGCTCTATTATTGGACTCAATGAGTCTTTTTGATGTGATATGAGCATGGATGAAGCTGTGCTTCAATATTTATTTATTTGATTTAATAATTTAATACAAATAAATATTATACGAATAATTTACATACAATTCATCCAACATTACTATGTTGGGTTAGGAAGTCCATTGGATGGAAACCGCGGTAAACGTAGCACTCGCCTCTTGCAAGCGTGAAAAGAACAACTCTGGTTGTTTTCACGCGCGAGTCAAAAAGAGTGAGAGATTAGAAAAACAAATAAAAAATGTGGGAATTTAAGAATTATTGACTGAGATTTGGATCTGAGCTTTCCGGCTTCATCTTAAGGCGGCGAGAACACAATCATTTTCTTGAAAAACAAACAAATATATGTACAACAAAATTTAAGTGCTGTCAAATCTATCTTTAAGCCAACACTTTATTACCTTCACATCTTATTAAACTAAGGGTTAGTTTGACATTATTTTTAAAAATTAAATTTAAAATTAATGTAGAAATGAACTTTTAAAAGTCGTTTTATAAAAGTATAGTTTTAAATTTAACTGTTTGAGCTGCTGTTAAAAAATAAAATGTTTATTTTAGATGTTTGAGTTGATTAGTCGTATTTTGTACCTCAAACTTAATTTAAAATTTTTTCAAATCGAGACGAGTGTGTGTGTGCACGCGTGTGCTCGTGTGTTTATTCATATTCTTTTTCACATTATAATGTTATTTAATATATCAAATATAATATAAAATTATAAAATATATTTACAATATTATATTTTAAAGAAGATATTTTGAGAGTAAAATATTGATGAGAGTTAAAAGAGTCAAGGAATCGATGGAAAGAAAGAATTTGCAAACAATTACAGTCAAAAGATCAAATTGAGTAAAATGCAAAGTTAATGAACTAAATAAAAAGAGAGTAAATGAAGGAGGAATTGAAGGAAAAAGGAAATGAGGGACTAAATTGTAAAACTGTCAAAATAATCAGCAAAAATTTCATTTTTTGAGTAACTCTAAATGTCAAAATTTTCAAATTTCAACTCGACATAAACTTGAAAACCAAATCGATAATTCAAATTGACTCAAATAACTCGACTCGATTAACTCAAAATTGAAAAAAGTCGATTTTTCGAGTCAGTTGAGTTTTGTTCACCTCTAATTTTAGACATTATGTTGTAAATTAAAAATATAGCATTTAAATTATATTTACACTTATTAATACTATGATATATAAAATATATCAACTTAAACTATAATAATATAAAAAACATTTTAATATAATTCATTAGTAATATTTTATATATGAAGTATTTTATTAAGAAAAAATATGTTATCAATATTTTTTTAATCTTTGAATTTAAAATAGTATTTTAATTTTTTTTATTTAATCACAATCACTTATTTAAAATAAATAATCTAATGATATATTTATCCTTTTAACCATTCAAAAATAAAAAATAAAAAGATATATATTATAATAAATTTAAAAATATATGATTATATATGAAATATATATCAATTTAAACTACAATAAAATTATAAAAAATAAAAATAAAAATAAAAATATAATATATTTTATAATAACTCGCTATTAATATTTTAATATATAAATCATAAATTGTATTTACTTTTAAATAATTAAAATAAATTATTAACCAATAAATTATTTTTTAATGATATTAGTATTAAATTATTGAAATAAAATATAAATAAATGGAGTAATTAATAAAGGAAATATCAACGGGGTTGGGTAACCAACTTGATATCGCTTAAGCGATTTCGAGTTCGAGTCTTCGTGTATGGAGTCTATGCATTGGTAAGGGTAAAAAAATATAATTTTGCTTATAATTTTGATCTTAACTTTTGCGGTTGGTTTAAAACTACCATTTCCACCATAATTTTTTTTTCTTCAAATTTTACCCATTTTACACTGTTTTTACTGTCAAAACAAAGTTTTCAGCTAAAAATGCTTTTAAACAACCTTATCAAACGGGTCATAACTAGCTCTAAGTCACCATTTAATGTCAAACGGAAGTATTAGATATTAAATTTTAAAGCAATTTAGTTAAATTTCCTAGTTTAATCATTAACTAAATGTCTTAAAAATAGAAAGTAGACTAAATTGGAAAAATGGTTTAGTTTAAGAATTCAACTGAAGTATTTTAAAATTTGAAATCAATTTTTAGTTTGACCCATGATTTAAGGATGCATGATGCAATTAATTCATAAAATAATGATTAATTAGAGAATGCAGATAGACTAGAGATGGTATCCGTTTGGAGTAAAAGTCTGGCGAAGGAGGCTATAAAAAAGAGAAGAAAAAGGCAATGCGTTTGTTCTGTGATGAGAACAACGTCCAAGTCACTTAGATCTCTAAATCCCCACTTACCCACCAAAGGAACACAAGAATCGAATCAGAAAGTAGAATACGCACAGAATTCTGGGTTTTGTCACTCTCACCACTGTTGGAATTCTATTCCAGTGAGCGTGTAAAAAGGGTCTTTTCTTCATCAACTGTTAACACCATTGAATCAGTGAGGGAGAGTGATTAAAGTAAGAGTTATGTTTTGATTTTGTTGACAAAGAAGAGCTATATTCCCCCCTGTTACAGCCTCCTTGGCTTTTCCTTTTTATGCATACAAAGGTGATAGATCAACACCAGGCTGCAGCAAAAAGAACAGTCTTTGAAGATCTCTTGTTGATTTTGTCTTTGGGTTTTGCTTTGTGAAAAACATGTTAATCGTGGGTTTTTGTTTATGCTTCAGATCTACCAGGATTTAGATGTCAATGTTAGCCCAGAAACAAACAGAGGAAGCCATAGTCTCCAACTTTAGCGAGACTGAGCAGCATATTCCAACCAGAGATGAAGAAAATGAAGAACAACAATCATTGTTCAACGTTCAGAACCTCCTCTGGCACGGTGGCTCCGCTTGGGATGCCTGGTTCAGCTGCGCCTCCAATCAAGTAAGCCCAATTTCCCTATTAACTTTACCATCCTTGGTTTTTTCTTCTCTAAACTGACAAATTTGTCCATCCTTGTAGGTAGCACAAGTGTTGTTGACACTGCCATATTCATTCTCTCAACTGGGTATGCTGTCTGGGATTCTGCTCCAAGTTTTCTATGGACTGATGGGTAGTTGGACTGCATATCTCATCAGTGTACTCTACATGGAGTATAGAAGCAGGAAGGAGAAAGAGAACGTCAGCTTCAAGAACCATGTCATTCAGGTTTCAATTACTCAAAAAACCGATCACCTCCATTCACAACAATGTAACCAAAAATTGTTAACAATTCTACACTGTTTCTGGGATTTTGCAGTGGTTTGAAGTCCTGGATGGGCTGTTGGGTCCTTACTGGAAGGCAATAAGACTTGCCTTCAACTGCACTTTCCTCTTATTCGGATCTGTCATCCAACTTATAGCTTGTGCAAGGTTAGCATCAAACTCGAAACTTGGATTTTAAGGTTGTTGTTTATAGTAAAACAATGTTAAAGTACACAAACGGTGCCTTAACTATAGGGCAGTTAGACAAGAACTTTGTTTTGATTTTAAAATCTCAAACAACTATACAGTTCATATGATTTTGGGATCAGATTTTATCATATCTTAGTTAATAGGTTAACTGTCAGCTCAAAGGACCATCAAATTTTGAATGAAAAAGGATGAATTTGGAATATTTGAATTCAACACCCCTATAATTGGGATCATTTTGTAACTTTTAATAGTCGAGACTCAACAAAATAACACCATATAAGATCATTTTGTAACTTCTAATAATCGAGTGATTCAACAAAGCAGTATCCTATAATTGAGTGACCATTTGATCAGTTTCACCATTACAACAATGGTAAACGAGTAAATGAAAACTAACCCTTTGTTGATAACAGCAATATTTACTACATCAATGACAAATTGGACAAGAGGACATGGACCTACATATTTGGAGCTTGCTGTGCAACTACAGTTTTCATACCCTCCTTTCACAACTACCGCATTTGGTCTTTTCTAGGCCTTGGGATGACCACTTATACGGCTTGGTACTTGGCTGTTGCTGCCCTCATTCATGGCCAGGTAAAAAAGAATATTTTCAAAGGTTTTTGTTTTTTTTGTTTGTGTCCTTAAGTTGGTCATTTTGGTTGCTCTGACCAGGCTGAGGGGGTGACGCACAGTGGTCCAACAAAACTAGTGCTTTACTTCACCGGAGCCACCAACATTCTCTACACCTTTGGCGGACATGCCGTGACTGTGTAAGCCTTTTCTCTTCTTCAAAACTTAGGAAGAATGATTTTGAATCGATTTTCGATTTCTAGTTGAAAATAAATGGTTGAATTTTTCAGAGAAATCATGCATGCAATGTGGAAACCTCAAAAGTTCAAGAACATTTACTTGTTGGCGACGCTTTATGTGTTTACCCTTACCCTCCCGTCAGCGGCAGCCGTTTATTGGGCATTCGGGGATGAGCTCCTCAACCATTCGAATGCCTTCTCTCTCCTCCCAAAGACCGGCTTCCGTGACGCTGCGGTCATCTTAATGCTTATTCACCAGGTGTATTTTTGTTCCCCTAGTTCATATGACATCTTACTAGTATGTGTTGTTTTGGTCCTAGGTTAAAACATTTGATGAAATTGCAGTTCATAACGTTTGGGTTTGCTTGCACGCCACTCTACTTCGTGTGGGAGAAGGTGATCGGGATGCACGACACAGAAAGCATATGCCTCAGGGCGTTGGCGAGGCTGCCGGTCGTAATTCCGATATGGTTCCTAGCCATCATCTTCCCATTCTTCGGGCCCATCAACTCTGCTGTTGGTGCTCTTTTGGTTAGCTTCACAGTTTACATCATCCCTGCTTTGGCCCATATGCTCACCTACCGAAAGGCTTCAGATCGACAGGTAAAAACTCGATCGATATCCATTTTCTCGACTTGAATGACTCATTTCCTTTACTCTTCTCACATTCTTTGGTGAAAACAGAATGCTGCAGAGAAGCCTCCCTTCTTCATGCCAAGCTGGACTGCAATGTACGCATTCAACGCCTTCGTGGTGGTGTGGGTTCTAGTGGTGGGGTTCGGGTTCGGAGGATGGGCAAGCATGACTAACTTCATCAAGCAAATCGACACTTTCGGCATGTTCGCCAAGTGCTATCAATGCAAGGCTCCAACACCAGCACCAGCTGCAGCTATGCACCATTAACCTAAATTCAGCCCCTCCATTTCTCAAAAAAAGGTTCCCATATTTTCGTCCACTTGATTATGTTGTAACATATATTGGGGGAGATAGTGATATCCCCCCCTACATGTTTAGTGTGCTGGATTTCCCCCCCCCCTTTTCCCTAATATTCTTTTAACCATCCCCCTTTAAATTAGCTTTTAATTGAAGAAAAAAAAAACATAGTGTGTTGAATTTGTGATATTGATTCCTTTGATGCCTAAACCTATCAATTAAATCATATATATAGTAAATTTCAGTTTTCTTCCTCCTAAAAACATTTTTTTTATTGCTCTAAATCGATTGTAAGATAGTATCTATTTGAAAGATTATCAATTATTTAACAATAAACACTTAAATAACTATGTAGACATCGTACTCAAATTTGAAAACACCATGGATAATAATCATCCCTAAACCACTTATTTTAGTTTTCTCTCTCCAATTTTTTTTTATTAATCTGAAGTGATTATAAGGTGATATCTATTCGAAAGACTCAATCATTTAATAATAAAAATTCAAACTTCCTAATAAGCATTATACTCAAATTTAAAATCTCTAACAAAATAATAATAATCATTTTGTTGGGTGACCAACTTTCTCCGACTTAAAAGCTTTTAATAAAATACGTTTACTGCAGTGGCAGTTATTACAAGTATCATGCTTCCAAATTGTAACGTATTTGGGTGGGTTTGATTTTTCATAGATTGCGTGTGGACATGATTTAATGTGTATTGGATATAAGATTCTAAGAGTATAGGGGTGGGCCGAGGATCCGCCCACCTTCACATGGCTTGCACGTTGCCTCATTTGCTTGTCACGTGTCACTCTTTACTGCTAAATATTCCCATTCATTCATTCATTCAATTTCACATGTGAGCTAACTTGCAACCCCTACACTATGTCATCTACAATTATAGTTAGTAATACTTTCCATCTTGATGTCCCTTTACCTAAACATTCCCAACTGTCGGTTTTTCTATCTATTTACTTTTTTTTTAAAAAAACTATTAATTTTATTTAAAAAAAATATCCAAAATTATAATTAAAGTTTACAACCATAATCATAAACTAAATACATAATTAAGATATTTTTTTTATAGTTATTGACATAAGAAACTAGCACATAAGGATTATGAAAGGAAAATGTTAAAAAATTAATCGAAAACTCGAACAAGATAGATACAAACATATCTGATTATATAAAAAAAATCGAACTATACCGAAAAACGAAAATTAGAGTCTAAGGACCTGAGAAAATGATTTACGAACGTAAATCGCGTATGCATCCAACCGAGAGTCTAAAGCAGTGAAAATTAGTATGATACAAATAAGTGTCGTCTTGATCAGTCGTGACGAATATCAAATTCAACCATGAGAAAAAAGATCAAAGGATAAAAAACGTATCGAGCGATAAAGGAAAATATGTCATAAAGACAAAAAAATATATCATAAAGACAGAGTTATTAAAACCTAAAAATTCAAAGAAAACACAAATGTATTGTATAACAAAATAAAGAAAAAAATAAAAATTCCCACAAGGGTGACCAACATTAACGCTGAGATCGTCGTCTATCATCAAGATGAAGAAAGATATAAGTTGTGTTTAGGATTTTTTAAAACTTTGATTAAAAATAGTATTTATTTATTTTTTATGGGCACCAATCTTAATATTTGAATAAAGTTGAGATTTAGTTTTATATTTTAAAATTAAATTATTTAATTTAATTTAAAATTTGCAGTCGAATAAACGATCCTATTCATAATTTTCATCCAAATATCTCATGAATAAACTAATGAATTATACTAAATACATGAGCACATCAATATAAGTTTTGACAAAAAGTGTTACGGTGTTAACGATTATTGTTTATTTTTTAAAATAAAAATAGATTTAGGTATTTAAATAAAGATTGCATTTCAAAATATGTCTATTTACATAGACTAATATATATTTTTAATAGAAAATAAAGTGTAATTAATGAATAAATTAGTTTATTCTTGCACATGCACGCCATAGGCAGGTGCCTTTTCATTTTGTTTTATAAAGAGAACGTGTGTGAACGTCCCCGATTGACAGTGCTGAATCTGATGGACTAATCAAAGTTTGATTATAAGGTCATTAATTAGTAAGAGAGAGAAAGAAGAAGCATGGTTAGGGTTAATTTTGATAATTTTTAGCACATGAAACAAAGTCAAAACCCAATTTGGTATCGTTGTCTTCTTCCTCTCTTTTTCTTTCATGATTAGGTCAAAGAAATAATTTGAAACATTTTTTTGATACATGCGGGAGAGTTGATTCCAAAAAGATCTTGCTGGGCGTGTAACCATTAAAATAAAAATTTGCACAATCAGAATTATGAGATCTAAAATAATTTTAATCCCTTAGATCAAAATAAATATTTATAGAGTAGGTATATTTTAATCGGTTGGCTAAACTGTTCATCTTTAATCCTTCATTTTAGTTTAGGTCATGAGTTCTACACCCATTAGAAATACTCTCATTCCTTACCTTCCCTTCTAGGTAAGATTAAGATAGAATTTGTTATAAAAAAGCTTAATACCAAAAAAAGTATCTAAACTATAGCGTTTCCCCCCAAATATGTGCCTAAACTGACTGATCTAAGTGCCTAACATTACAAAAATTACCTATTTAAGTGCCCGGACCCTCAATGACTTTAATTTCACCTCTTAAGTGACATGTCACACTTTGAGGATTTTAAAATTTATTTTTTTAAAAATATAAAAATGTTATTATATTTAGAAAAACATCATAATTTCTCTTAAACTATAAAATAGCTCCCAAATCCCTAAAATCCCCAAATCCTAACCTTAACCACTACTGTCTCCCTTTCCGACCATGACAACTGTCACCAACGTAGTCCCTGCCATCCTTCTAGTCATACGCCACCCTAGTTGTCGCCGATTGGACGTCGGAATTGCGTGGGATTGTTATTTTTATTATTTTATTATTTATTTTATTATTTATATTAAATAATAATAAAAAATCACTTCATAAATAATAATAAAATAATTTAGAAAGAACAAAACAAGAGTAATTCGAAAGTTCAGTAAGTAAATTGGAAAATTTAAAAATACAATGAGTAAAATAAGAGAGAAAGAGAATAGTTCAATGAAGAATGTAGTTTACCCATTTATATATGTCAATTTACTTTCTAAGTTTTCTTAGAAAAGTAAAATCAATTTCGAAATAATCATATGAATAGTTAACATTTTATTAACTAACTATATTAATTTTGGGTAAATTACACATTTATTACCTAAACTATTACTTTTGTTCCTTTTTGATACATAAACTTTATTTTTTTTTCAAAATCATACCTAAAATTTAGTTTATATTTCATTTTGATATCCCACCATTAAAAATTTAATAGAACTATTGTGAGTGACATTTTTATGGATAAATTACACCATTCAACACTCAACTATTTTTTCACTCCAATTTTGGTGACTAAAGTTCAAAATTTTAATTTAACTACTCAACTTTCAAATTACTCATATTTTAAGCACTCTAATTTATTTTATTAATAATTTTTGTGACATGAAATTTATTATTATTTTATTAATATATAAGTAAAATAAAAAATTACATTTGAAAGTTAGAGTGATTAAATTTGGCGTAATTTGAAAGTTAAGTAATTAAATTAAAAAATATACTTCAGTGACCAAAATAGGAGTGAGAAGATAGTTGATTAGTGAATGATGTAATTTACCTATAAAAGTGTCGCATACCATTAAATTTTTATGGTAAGGTAACAAAATGAAATAAAAAGTAAACTTTATATTTGATTTTTTAAAAAATAAAATTTCAGGGACCAAAATAAAACAAAAATAATAATTCAAATACTAAACGTTAATTACTCTAATTCTTTTACTGAATAATAACTAAAAGAGTCTGATGGATTTCAGTAAAGTTTTACATTTTCAAAAAATATTCTACAGTAATCTCTTTGTTCCATTAAATTTATACTTTATTTTATTTTTATAACTTTTGACACATTATTATTTAGAATTTATTATTGATAAAAATATATAAAAATATTTTAAAAACTTTCAATCAAGTAATTTTTAAAAATGTATTTTACAAAATTTAATTATTAAAAAATTTAAAATAATTATGATCAAAGTTAAAAAATATTAAATTTTAAAAAGTTAATAAGAAACAAATTTAGTGGGATAGAGGGAATACAAAACAATTTTAGGATTAAGAATTATTTTAATTATCATGGTGGTTATTATAAAAGTTTTATTATAGTTGATATTAGGGCTGTAAAATCAGGTAATCGGTCAGGTTTCAGTCGGATCTTGGCAAGTCGGGTAAAATCGGATATAGGTCAATTCAGGTTGATTTGACACCAGATCCAGATCGGGTTCAGGTCAGGTCAAATCAGTTCAGGTTATTTTCAGGTTGATTTGACATCAGATCCAGATCGGGTTCAGGTCGGGTCATTTTCAGTTCGGATCGATGTCAGTTCAGGTAAAAACAATTCAGGTCCGAAGCAGATAAAGACCAGGTTAATTCAGGTTCGGGTTGACTTCAGTCGGATCTCGTTCAGATCGGGTCACATCATTGACAGATAAAATTCAGGTCGGATGTTTATCGGATACAGATTGAGTTCAGGTCGGGTCGTTTTTGTTTTTTTGGATTAATTATTTTGTCATATTTCGTGATTGTTGAATTGGAAGTTGTAATTGTATATGATTTCGAGTAAAATAAGAGAAAAATAAATATTCATGGATCAATTTTGTAAAAAATATAAATTTAATGACAAAATTGAAGAAATGAAAAATTACAAATAAAATCTTAAAATATAAATTAAACAACACACATAGGTAAGGGACTAAATCGAAATAAATTTAAAATGCGAGGTTTAAATTAATGTAAAAAATGACAAAATTGAATACATTTAGAAAATTATGGGCCAATTACAAAATATAAATAAATAACAACTAACAATGGAATATGCAAATATA